ACACACATATATTATGTAAACAAAAACTTTTATTTTGGATGCGATTATTAATCATTAATCATTTGACAACACTAATATATATATATATATATATATATATATATATATATTGTAATATGTGTGTGTACTGTGTGCGTGTGTACTGTGTGTATGTATATATATATACATATATAGAAACATTTATAACTAAATTGAGCTTAATAAAGAGACTATTATCTTTTATACAGCACAAATTGAGTTTGTTTCATAATTAATACATTTCACTAAATTAACACTGTTATTTTCCTGTTTTATAAATGTGCAGCTGCTTTGAAACAATCTGTATTATGTAAAGCACTATATATAAATAAATATAAGACTACTGTATGTTAAATCTCATACCTGTCTGTGCATATGAAATGTTTTATCATGTGTTTTGTCTGGCAGAATAACCTGACGTTCACGGGGGCCATAAACGGTGACGTGTACGTGTGGCGAGAGCATTTCCTGGTGCGTGTGGTGGCTAAAGCTCATACAGGACCAGTGTTCACCATGTACACCACGCTCAGAGACGGACTCATCGTGACCGGAGGCAAAGAGAGACCGTGAGTCCAGCTCTACAACACACAATCATGCTGACATGTCAGTTTCATATGGTTTTTTAAAAATCATTTTCAGCTAAATTGTTTTAACCATAAAGACAAAAATTCTTACACCTTGAATAAAAGTTCAAAAGTTTGGAGTCTGTAAGATTTTTTAATGTTTTTGAAAGATGTCTCTTCTGCTCACCATGGCTGCATTTATTAGATTATAAATACAGTAAAAAATGTGAAATATTATTACTATTTATAATAGATGTTTTCTATATGAATATATTTTAAACTGTAATTTATTTCTGTGATGCGCAGCTGAATTTTCAGCATCATTACTCCAGTCTTCAGTGTCACATGATCCTTCAGAAATCATTCTAATATGCTGATTTGCTGCTCAAGAAAAATTTATTTTTATCATCAGTGTTGAATTTTTGTGGGAACCATGGTTTTTATTTTTAAGTTAATTTAATATTTTTGTGGGAACCATGATTTTTATTTTTAAGTTAATTTAATTTTATTTATATTTAATGTAATTTTATTTTTAAGGAGTCTTTGATGAATAGAAACTTCAAAAGAACAGCATTTATTTGAAATATAAATATTTTGTAACAATATGAATGTCTTAAATGTCACTTTTGATCAATTTAATGCATTTTATAAATAAAAGTATTAATTTCTTAAAAAACATACCCTAAACTTTTGAACATAGTGTACAGTAAGTGTACAAAATGTATATATTTTAAGGGAATCTTTTTATTAAAGTGATACTATGTGCACACAAAACATGAGCATAATGTCATTGCTTCATTATGTATGTGCAGGACTAAAGAGGGCGGCGCTGTGAAACTGTGGGATCAGGAAATGAAGAGATGCAGAGCATTTCAGCTGGAGACGGGGCTTCCTGTCGAGACGGTCAGATCTGTGTGCAGAGGAAAGGTCAGTCATGCTTCATAAGCACCCATTTCAAGTGTAAGTTTAGTAGAAAGACAGTAGCAAGTAAGTTTGTTTATTGGATGGCAGGGAAAGATCTTGGTGGGAACGAAGGATGGCGAGATCATCGAGGTTGGAGAGAAGAACGCCGCCTCCAACACCATGATAAACGGACACACACAGGGGCGCATCTGGGGTCTGGCCACACACCCCTCCAAAGACGTCTTCATTTCCGCCAGCGATGATGGAACCATCCGCATTTGGGACCTGGCCGATAAGGTGAGGGATTGTGGGTAGTGGAGTGAGAAGAGGGGATTTTACACTACAGCTCAACAGTTTAGGGTCAATAAGAGGATACAATTAGTATTTTTATTCAGCAAGGAAATGTTTAAAAGTGACAGTAAAGACATTTGTGATGTTGCAAAAGATTTCTATTTTACATAAATGCTGCTCTTTTGAACTTTTTGTTCATCAAGGAATCCTGAAACATAAAATATATCACAGTTTCCACAAAAATGTGAATCAGCCCAACTGTTTTCAACATTGATAATAATCAGAAATGTTTCTTGAGCAGCAAATTAGCATATTAGAATCTCACGTTCAGCAGCGGCAGCTCTTAAAGTTATAGCAGCCAAATAACCTGATATCCCAGCTGCTGCGATGTCTGTTCATCATAGAACAAGTGAAAAACAGGAGGAAATCAATAACTTTGTAGCTTTAAGGATTCATCTATATTTGAATTAGAATTTAGTGTTTGATCACTTTATTCAATTTCTGTATATTTCCTACTTGCTGAAGGGCACAGGCAGCTAAATATGACATTTATTATAATGGGTTTATGTGAAGATTCTTTTAAGTTCACTTAAATTAGAAGTTTTTTTTTTTTTTTAAGTCTAATAAATGTTAAAATTGATAGCTCTCAATTATACTGTAATGTTGAATGGCTAGTCAATGGTTAAATATTAGGAAAAAAAGAACAATTTCCTAGAGACATCAGTAGTATTGTTATCAGTGATACTCGCCTTCAGTCATAAAAAAAAATGCAATTAAACAAATATTAAAAATATACTATCTTTATGTTGTCTCTACATTCATTTGAAGATTGAATGTTAAGTTATTGCAATATAAAAGTATATTTAATAACTTCGATGGGATTAATCATGATTAATTTCAGAAAAAATGTGCGATTAATTAGTTCCTTTTTTTTTATCGATTGACAGCACTATTAAAAATATTATAGAAGTCAACTGTTATGAAAAATGCACTAAAATACCAATTTCAAATTGTATATGAAATATATATTTCCCATTTGTTTCCCATTCGTTATTTCGCCATTTTTTTTCAGGACCATTTAACTTTTTCACAGCATGATTGATTGATTGATTGATTGATTGTATTGATTGATTTTGTGTGTTTTCACATAGCAAGTGCCAAAATCTTCACCATGTTTTGTAATATTCTGAAGTAAAAAATACTCCAAAACTGAAACGTAAAATTTTCAGATTAAAAATGACCGAAGAGCACCAGAGGGTTGATCATTGTTTGTCTTCCAGAAACTCCTGAACAAAGTCAGTCTGGGTCATCCGGCGAAGTGCACGGCGTACAGTCAGAACGGTGAGATGGTGTCCATCGGGATGGAGAACGGAGAGTTCATCGTGCTGCTGGTGAATTCACTGACTGTATGGGGCAAGAAGAGAGACCGCAGCGTGGCCATCCAGGACATTCGGTCAGAAGAGACACTGCATGACAAATACACAACAAAACACATGATCATGAAAGCATACGTTCTCAAGCCGTGTTTCTCACGCAGGTTCAGCTCTGATAACCGGCTGCTGGCCGTCGGCTCAGTGGAGTGCGCTGTCGATTTCTATGATCTGACTCTGGGGCCGTCTCTCAACCGGATCGGCTACTGCAAAGATATTCCTGGATTTGTGATCCAGCTGGACTTCTCTGCTGACAGCAAATACATTGAGGTACAAATCATTCAGAAAACATATTGAGGACTAAATAAACAGAAATAGATCATTTTGATAACCTACACAGCAGAGACATAATGCGACAAAATATTTCTTAATGCACACAAATTAAGTTTTTGTGCATGCACATTTTGCACAAATAAAGGGTGTTGCATGGAGTTCGAGTCAACCAAAATATTTAATGTTTAAAAACATCGGCTTAAAAGTTATTAGCTAAAACGCATGTGAAAATTAAACCGTTTTGTGCACTGGAGATTTTTTTAGTTTCCTGTACAGTTCAATAGAACAATTAAAAACGAACATATACTTGGCATTTAGTCCCTTAAAAGATGTCAAGTCACCTTTATTTATATGGCACTTCATAATATACAGATTTTTTTCAAATTAGACTCACAATAATAAAACAGTAAACTAACAGCATTAATGTGCCAAAAAAAAAAAAAAATCAAATATATTTTTAAATATCAAAATACATTTATGTTTTTTGATATTTACCACCATTGTTTTTGGCCACCTTTTCTATGTTTTTGAACAAATATTTAAAAAAATATATTTTTTAAATAATTACAAAATATATATTTTGCCCTTCTTATATTTAAATGTGAAAAAATTTATTCACGTCACATTTGAAGAAAAACTTAATTTGTTGAACTTCGTCTCTGTCTTATTTGTAGCCAAATATTTTTTGAAACATTCTCGTTTCTCTACTATAAACACTTTAATTTTACATTTTAAATGGTGGATAGAAAATCTAGTTTGATCTCTATTAGGCTATTCCATTCACATTTGCATTTAGCTTAAATGTAGGAGCCCCTGAAATACATTTTGAAATATATTTTGGTATATAAAGGTTGAAACTAAATATAATTTTCATGTAGTCTGTGTAAGTAACCCTGATATGATTTAAACTTTGTGTGCAGGTCTCTACCGGTTCATATAAGCGTCAGGTTCATGAGGTTCCCAGCGGGAAGATCGTCACAGAACAAGCCCTGATTGACCGAATCACCTGGGCGACCTGGACCAGGTGAGGACACAGATCTGTACAGTAAACGGTCCTCAGAAATGACGTCAGTGTCCTGTAGTAAAGCTCTTCCTCCTGTACAGTGTTCTAGGTGACGAGGTTCTGGGCATCTGGCCGCGTAACGCAGAGAAGGCAGACGTGAACTGCGCCTGTGTTTCTCACGCCGGGCTCAACGTGGCCACCGGAGATGATTTTGGACTCGTGAAGCTCTTCGACTTTCCCTGCTCCGAGAAATTTGTGAGTCAACCGTGACTCAAGTCAAATTTATTTCTATAGCGTTTTTCACATTACCCATTTTTTTCATCTTCATGCTTTGTAGTCACATTTAGCGAAGTTGACTGATAATATAGTTACATTTCAAACAAAATAAAAAAATCAGGCAGTAGAGATTAACTATATACGTAATGTAAATCACTTTGCATGAGTATTCTGTATGTATGCAGATAAACTTGGATATAACATATATCCAAACTCATGTGAACACTTGAAATATGAAATTACAGTTACATTTTACGTAAGGTTTATTTAGTTAATGCAATAATATGAACTAACAATCAGCAATACATCTGTTTCAGCATTTATTAGTCTTTGTTAATTTATATATATATATATACACACACAAAATTAACCCTTAGTAACCCTTATTATTAACAATATTAACCCATTGTGATTAGCCATATTAACCCTTTATTATTAATCCTTATTATTAACATTAACTCTTACCTTATTAATATAAAACCATATTAACATTTTATTTTAAAATAAAAGTCGCAAAATTGCGACAAGACGTCATACTTAATCGAATAGACTGTAGTTCCTAATATGGTGTAATATCTAATTTGTATTCCCTACCACTAGATGGCAGACATGTAGTACTTCGATTCTAGACCAAAATTACGTCACCTTCCTATTCAAAGTTTTTGAGGAAAGAGCAGAGCAAGTGAGCTTTCGTGTCACTGATGCGGAGGCAGTTAAGTTCATAGCGTGCGGGCAAGCTGTGAGATTTGTGAGAGAAAATCGCCAAATGGCTAATAAATGTTGTACCGTGAGGATGTTTTGCAAACGTTATTCGCCAATTCTGACTCTGAAGGGGAATATTTGCCTTTTGGAAATGACGATCGGTCGTCTAATAATCGCGCTTCTCCCGGTACATCTTTGCAGC